CAGGAACTTCTAACGAAAATACTCGTCATGTTAAAATTGAATTATTAAATCACAATGAGTATGAAGCTTTAATTCTTAGCAGGAAAATCGGTTTGAAAGGAAATGCTTATGAAATCGACGAGTTTTTGCTGCACCAAAAGTGATGATTTGTGGAAGATGCAACTGTCCAGGTCATACAAAGAAAAATTGTCAAAATTCTCAATCCGACAAGTGCAAAAGATGTGGAAAAGACCGAACGCGAATTCAGGAACACCGTGACTGTCAAATCATATGTCATCACTGTGGAGAAAATCATGAGGCAACAAGTTACAAATGCCCAATGATTGCTGATTTTCGTTATGAACTGATCCAAAAGTTGAAACAACATCCAGAGAAGCTACCACCTCAAGCTCAGTTTTTTATTCCTGTTCCCTTTCGGCATGAAAATGATAAACAAAGAACGATTTCGAATATTGTCAACCCTCCTCAAAGAAGAGTTCAACAACCGGCTAATCAAGTGTACAATAGATCTGACTTACAAGCGTGGCCAAATTTAAATCCAATGGTTACTACGAAATTTAACAGAATTTGAAGAAAAATATAAAGCTATTCAACTGAAGCTAGATCTGATGGAAAAACGTCACGAAGAAGAACAAATTGTAGCTGAGAAATTAAGGGATATGGAAAAACAAAAGATTGAAGAGAAATATCGTCTTCATAGAAATAAAATCAATCAAATCTGGCTTCAAACAGACGCGTGCCAGGAAGTTCAACAAAAAATGTTAAAGAAATGTTTAACATCTCAGAAAGAAGTTGCCATTGCTAATATTAAAGTTATCACAGCAGTGCGTGACGTCGTTGACGAATTAAGAACAAAGCATAATATCCCGACGTTTGACAAAATAGTGGAATCTTTGAACACTCAATTGAACTACGCTGAATCAACTAAACAAAGACTGACACAACAACAAAATGAATTTCACACGGCACTGGCTGAATTCAACGGCGAAAAAAGAAAAGCTTTACAAGAAATTCTCCTTAATAATGACCGGTGAAAGTTATTATTTAAACGAAGAAGTACTGAACAATTCTGAAGGATCATGTAAGGCTAAAGATGATCTTTTTAATATTTTTTATGAGGGGAATTCTGTGAGTTGTGTGCGAGTTGGAAAAAGTGTAGGCCTTTAGCTTCTTCTGAAAATTTGCCTGTTTTGTTGTGGAACTGTCTAAGTTTAAAAACGCGCGTAACTGAATTAGCTTCTTTAGTTTCCACCTATTTGCCACATATTTTTATTTTGACAGGGGTAGGCAGTCAGTTGAGTAGGCTTCCTTCGGTGCCTAACTACAGGTGGGTTAGTCAAAGAGGACCAAACAGTTTTGGCGGCGTAGCTATTTTAGTGCATCAAAAAATTAAATGTGAGGTTTCAGAACAGTCTGAAAATTTCATTTTACTTGAGCTTGACATTTTGTGTCAAAAGTTGTACGTTGCCGGAGTTTACGCTGCCCCTAGCAGTTTGCTACCGCTTGACCTGCTCAGTAAACATGCGTCGAAAGACATCTACATTTTTGGCGACTTTAACGCCAAATACCCGAACTGGAACTGTGAGACGAATGACACCCGGGGGAATAAATTGAACGAATGGCTAATTGATAAAGGATTTGTAACAATACATCCCATGGAGCCTACATCAAAAAGATCAACAGCCATCATAGATTTTTATATTGGAAAAGAAAAAAGGAACTGGAATGTCGAAAGATTAGATGAAGGTACTTCAGACCATTTTCCGGTGCTATTCGTCTCCCCTTTCAGTGCGGGAGAAAACGGAGTTGTTAGGAAAACAAACTGGGATTTGTTTACTTATTTTTCTAGCGCAGTGCATTCCTATTGGAATGCGCAAGTTTACGAATTAGACTATAACGTTTTCTTCGACCAGTTTTCGGTATTTTTAGCTGCACTTTTCGATCGTTGCAGCACCTACGAAAGTTTAAACGCTTTTCGTCCTCCTTGGCCACCTTACCTTGTAAAACTAGCCCGGACTGTGAACAAGTATAACAGAAAATATCGTAAAACGCGTTTTTTATGCCACTATGAAAATTTAAAGACTTGGCAGAAAATTTACATGCAGGAGAAATTTAAATTTGAGCAAGAGAAACGTGACAAAAGAATAGAACATATGAGACAAGGGCAGAATATCTGGTCTCATGTTAAAAATGTTTTTCGTCCATATGCTCCAGCTTTCAAAGGATTAAAAATACCAACTCAAACTGAAGCTCTGTCTCTTTCGAGTTCCCAGAAGGTTTCAGTACCGTGCCCGGATAACTCGAGCAGAAAGAAAGAACAGACTTTTCAAACTTTAAAAGATCAAAATAAAATTGCAGAGGAGCTCGCCAATTATTATGAAAAGCATTTTGCTGAACCAAAACCCGACTTAAATAATCCTTTTCACAGAGAATGCTTAGATGCTTATGAAAGAATAAAATCAATGCCAAATTTGTCTTTAGAACAAATTAAATTTGAAGAGGTTCAATTGCAGTGGGAAAAGTTTGCGTCTAAAAAGTCTTTGGACAGTGTGGATAACTCGGCTTTTCTCTTAAAACAACTCCCTTCCCAATATCTTTGTACAATCACGGTGTTATTTAATAAATGCGTAAGGGAAGGAGAATTTTTTGAATCAGGAAAAATTGCAAAAGGAATTTTTCTTTCCAAGGACGGCGCTTACCCGACGATCGATCGACTTCGTTCGATCTCGTTACTTCCAAATTTAGGGGAAAGCTTAGAAAGGATAATAGTCGCGCGGATAGAAAAGTGGTGCTTAGCTCAAGGAATACATTGTGATGAGCAGTCCGGTTTTACCGCTAATAAGAGATTGCAAACGCGAATTTTGGGCGTAGCGGAAGATATTAGGTTAACTGTTGCTGCCCCTAATAGGCCAGCGCTCAGTATTTTTGTTGACTTCGCTACAGCTTTTGACCGTTTATGGTACGCAGCATTTATGCGCACTCTTGAAAAACTAGACATGCCTCTAGAACTAAGAAAATGGATTTTTAATTGGTTTCAAAAGAGGAAAATGTACGTAAGTTTTGGGGAAGCAAAATCGCGACTTATTGAAATATCAACTGGGCTCCTCACGGAAGTGTTCTTGCAGCACTCTTATTCCGTTTATATGTGCATTTTTTGCCAAGTTATTTTCCTCAAATCACGGCCGCCTTGTTTGCAGACGATATGAACATGCTTTTGAAAGGCGCGCTGGAATTAAAACTCGGTGACAATATTGAATATTTAGAAAAACAAGCAAAAGTCGCTTTAAAAGCTTTAGAGAAATTTTCCGAGGATCACTTGCTGCCAGTAAATGTTAGCAAAACTAAAGCAATGTTAATACATAGTGCTGTTACATGTAAAAAACCAAACATCGAATATGAAGGAGTAAAAATCGAATATGTTAAATCTTTCAAGTATCTAAGAGTCGAGTTTGGCACTAAAATGGGGTGGGGTAAGCATATAGATTCGAGGCTTAAAACAGTTAGATCAGCGTATGCTGGATTAAGAAAAATATTTTACACAATTCCAAAAAACGAAGTTAAGATCAGAAGACGGTTGTTCTGCGCGTTTGCTTTGCCTCACTTTACCTGGCTTTTTTCCATTTGGTTTTATTTCACAGAAAAACAGAAAGAAAAAATCGAGTATGTTTACTGTACGGGTCTGCGACTAGTTTATTCCCTTTGGGGATATGAAGACCTGACGACTGTAGCTCTGACTCGAGAATTTACGCTCAGGGACTTTCTGTTCAAATATTGGTTGAGGTTTCAAAAACATCTGGAAACCGCTCCAGAAGCTAATGCGTACCGTTTAACCTGGAACGCATATGAAATAGCGACGTC